TTGGTCTTGGAGACTTAACCTCTGAAGCTGGCAGCCCTCAGATGGGAACGGCATAGGATTTTGTGAAGGACAAATGTGGGCCGCCCCTGCGAGCAAGCCCAGGATAGAGACAGCTTTTCTCTTGTTCTCAAGCTGGAATACCCAAGGCCCTCCCACCTCTTCTGAACCCAGAGATGAGAATTAAACTATTATTTCTCAGGAATCAATGCCATTGTCCAAGGTGAGATAGCAACAACGTGTTGTAGGTACCCATGGAAACGGGGACAGGTTGTCAGCGCCCGGAAGCACTAATAGCAGGCCCGCCTTGGTCTGTGACTCCCATCTGGGCTCCTGAGAGTACTTGTAGGACTGTTCAGAAGAGCTGGTGTGATTCATGCATTTAAAAGGAGGCAGGCCTTTACGAGAACACTGCCAGCTAAACAGACAGAGAACACTCAGTCAATCCCACTTTCGGCGGTGAGGAGCCAATCCCATGTTCAATAACAGGAACCTCTCTCTCCTCTAGACCCGGTTGGAAAGAGAAGAGGGGAGTTGTGAGAACTCAACATTGCAGGTCCAGAAGGGGAAGGGCATGATTTCAAAGGCAGACAGAAGCCAGTGAGATAAATAAAGGTGAGCATTTATGGAGGGCTCCACACGGGCCAGGCGCTGAGCCCAGAAAGCCCATTGTACACACAGTTGTACGTAGGCCCTCCTCCTTTCTGTCTGTCTGTCTGTCTCTCTCTCTCTTTCTCCCTCCACCCTTGCATATTCTTTCTGGTTTAGTATAGGGAAACTGAGGTTTGGAGAGAGTCGCTTTCTGTCCAGTATCACTGGGCTACTAAGTACGGAAGATGAGACTTCACCCAGGTTTCTCTGACCCCCGCATTTTTTTTCCCCATGACACTCAGAGAGCCTGACTCATTCGGACAACCATGAGCCTTGCTCCTGCTGGTCCCCCTCACAATAAAGGTCCCCCTTTATTGTGATTGGCAAAAAACATTTGCGGTGTACCCATTATAGAGGAAATCCTGTTACAGACGATCCAAAGATAAATAAAACGTGGTCCTGCCCTATCTACAATCACTTTACCTTTTCCCTCTGGTCCTTTTAAACACCATTTAGTTATTCAGCAGGCTTCTTTCACAGAGCCTCGTGGACTTTCCCCTTCCTCTTGACGTCCTCGGTCCCTAGGGTGAGGAGACCTCTTCCCACCCCTACTGTGGTGCCACAGCCTCGGCCTCCTGGCTCACCTCTCTGCCTTCAGTTTACTGAGGTGACCTTTTGAAGCAGGGCCTTTGTAGTGTCACCTGATAGGGAGAAGCTGACCTCCACTCCTTCCACCATCACTGGTGCGAATCTGGAGAGAGCCCAGGACTGGGAAGTGGGAGACCCGGAATGTGGACCCTGCCCTGTCTTTGACCACTGGGTGACCTTGGGCTGGTTATTCCTCTCTTTTTCACTGGGCCTCAGGTTCTGATCTGTAAAATGGAAGCATTGGGGTTTGGGGTTTCTTGGAAGTGCTTCATGGGCCTCTTCACAGGATTTATGCATTCATTGTTTATTGAGCTCTTGCCGTGTGCCAGGCATTGCTCTAAGCACCAGGGAGAGACCTGCAAACAAAACCAGACAAAGGCTCTGCTCTTGGCTGAGCCTTCTTTTTAATAAGGGAGGCTGCCAGTGAATAAATAATACATGATATGTCAGATAATGATCAGTGCTAAGAAACAAAAATAGAGTGAGGACACAGGGAGACAGTGGCCCTGTGTTAAATAGGGTGGCCAGGGAAGGACCCACAAGGGGGTAATAAATAAAAAGGAGCCTGAAGGAAGTGAGGGAGTGCCCATGTGGGTATTCGGGGTAGAGTTCTCCAGGCAGAAGGAAGAACCAGTGCAAAGACCCTGATGTGGGAATGAGCTGGGCATATTTAAGTAGCAAGAAAGGAGGCCACTAGGGCTGGGTGGAGGTGTCAGTTATAAAGTGGCAGGAAATGAACTTGGAGAGTTATCTGGGCACAAAATCAGGGAAGGCTTCAAACCGAGGTGGAACTATGAGAAGTCACTGGAGGGTTTGGATCTGACTTACATAATAAAGCAAGGTGAATAGGCTATAGAATATTAAGGAGGAAGGAGGGAGATAAAAAATTCAGATCATAGATGGGGGTGACCTGAACCAGGATGAGAACAGTGAACCAAGAAGCAGTCAGATGTGGAGTAACACTGATAGGATGTGCTGATAGATTAAAAGTGGGATGAGACCAGAAGAAGACCAAGGCTCATGGCCTGAGCAGCTAGAAAAACTAAGTGCCATTTGTGGAGATATGGGAACTTGGGGAGGGGGTAGTTTGGAAGGAGAGGGAAGGAGTTTGGTTTTGAACATGGGACGTTCAGTTTCCAGTGAAGATGTATCAGGCATTTGGTTCATAAGTCTAGCATCAAGAGGGGCAGTCTGGGCTGGAGATACGAATTAGTGAATCATCAGCATAGAGATGATGTTTAAAGCTGGGGCACTGAATGAGCTCAGGAAGGAATGAGTGTGTGCAGAGGACAAGGGTGGGGCCCTGGGCACGTTGGCATTGAATGGTGGGAGAGAAGGGGAGGAGCTAGCAAGATGGAAGGAGGACTGAGGTCATGGCATGCGGAAAACTAAGGGGAGATGTTTTCAAGGAAGAGGAAGTGATGAACTGTGGCCAGTGCCACTGACAGAGTGAGAAAGTGGTGGACTGGGAACTGACCACTGAATTCGGTGACATGAGGGTGACCTTTGTAAGAGTGGTTTCAGCAGACTGGGCAGGTTGTGCTAGGTCTGCAGGCCTCCTGGATCCCTTAATCCCCTCCACCCAGAGCTTGTAAACACACACACAAACACACTCACCATCTGCAGGAATACAGAGAAACAATATTTTAAAGTCATTACCTTTGTTTTTTGTTTCAGTACTTCTTTGGATGAATCCATGACTCTTTCCCTAATTAGTCAAAAGCATTCAAATTGCTTCACAAAAGAGTGAGATTGTTATATAGTAGAAACGAAAAGTAAGAGAAACTGTCAGTGTTCAGTTTAACTTTAGGATGTCAAAGCCCACAGCAGAAATGTTAATTTAGAAAGTCAAAGCCTAAGCTTTGTGAGGCCAAGTTTTATCAAAAGACAAAAAGATTCTTAATAATCAGGACACTGGGAGCAGAATGGAGACTTTGTGCTGGAACATGAGTAGTAGAGGGTAGAGGAAGTCCCAGAGCACTCATTACCCCATCCTCAGGGGACCAGCTGAGCGTCATTTAGGCTAGAGCCGGCCTGAAGGGAGTGGATGGAGCATGATCTTAAAGGATGTCTTTGAAGTTTTAGATGAGGAGACCAAACCTTGATAGTGAGGGTGGGAGGGCACAGAGGACCAGAGGTCAATATCCAGAGAGTGGCCAGCACCAAGGAGCTTCGTGGGGCATACTCCATAGCCTAGCAACCATCTGCCTCCCTTTCCTGGGCAGCGTGAACCTCCATCAATCATATGGAAGAAACCACGTGAGCTTCTCTTCCCATTGCTGTCTGATGGGGTCCTTCTACCACCTGTCTGACCATTTCCATTGGATTTTCCAGCTGAAAAGATTCCTGTCCATGCTCTAAGATTTTTCCGAGTCCCATTCTTACTTCCCCATATGGAAGCACTAGTCCTTGGATTGGGCTGAAAAGTGATGAGACTCACCCCAGTTAAATCAGATTTCATTTGGAAAACGGTTTCCATTCTTAAAAGTGTTCGGAAAACTTCTGGTTTAGTTCCAACAGGTAAGGGGCTTAGAAGTCAGCACTCCCATCCTTACAAGAAGAAAAGAGCTGGGCAAACTGAAAATCAGTGACTTTTTTAAGGCCCATCAGAGAGCTGAGGTTTCAGGGGTAACCACCACCCTGAAATCTGGGAGTTCTAATGGAAGCCCTAACAGGGCTTCGACAGGGATGCAAAACAAGGACAGCAGAGGAAGGTGAAGCTATGGCGTCGACATCTCCAGCAGACATTAAACATGGCCCAGTGTGTAGCCAGATTAATGTGAATCTTCACACTAAAGGCCTGTTTGCCTCAGTTCCTATTACTTGATACAACATGTCCAGCTTTCTAGAAAAGAAATTACAAGGCATACTAAAAGGCGGAAAAACAGAGTCTGAAGAGTCAAAGTCAGCATCAGAACCAGACTCATATATAAGACATACTTGAGGATTATCAGACAGACGATCAAGGTCAACATCAACAATAGTAAGTCATGTTGATAGTATGTCCCCTTGGCAGAATGTGATGAAAATGGCACTTTGCTCTGTGCTTGTCCCCCCAGATGCCCGTGGCTCCAATCTAACCTGAGGAAAACATCATCTGTAACCATTGTGAGGGGCAGTCTACAGAATACCCTACAAATATCCTCATCGTCAAGAGAAGCCTAAGGAAACTTGCCTATTAAATGCCATGGGGCGTTCTGAATGGGCTCCTAGAACAGAAAAAGGACCTTAGGTAAAAACTAAAGAAATTTGAATCAAGTGAACTTGAGTTAATGATTTATGAACATTGGCTCATTGATTGTATCAAATGTACCATTCTAAAGCAAGATTTTAAAAGTAGGGAGGGACTGGCTGTGGGGTATATGGGAACTCTCTGTACCATCTTTCTGTAAACCAAAAACTGTTCTAAAATTAAGATTTATTAAAAGAAAAAAATGCTTGGCAATGCCTGGGCTAACAATCACTGAGATATCTTCAACTCAGACTATGTTTTTCTGTTGAGTTCAGTTTTGTTTTACCTGTTTTATCCAGGGAACCCAGAGCCCAGCTTATCCTTGGTCCACTATGAAAACCCCTGGATGAAAAAGACGGCAGCAGTTTATTTAACACTAACTGAGCAAATTTTAGTGTCTGGCATTGTGTTAGTCACTTCTATGTATTAAATTCATTTACTTATTAATAGCTTATAGTTTCTGATACTTTCTTTGCTCTTTATTTAGTTTTTTTTAAACAATGAGGAACGTCTGTCCAGCCCATGTACCCACCTTTCTCTGGTACAAGCAGATCCTGATGACCAGTGAATCCACTAAAGGAGAATACATTTTCAGACTCATTCTGTTGAAAAGCCACAGTGACACTTTTTGAGGAAAGCTCATTTCCAGGCTCCCGTGTCCTTTCCGATTCTGTTTGAATCCCTTTTGCTTCTTGCATCTCTGGGATGAAGTGTCACACCTGGAAAAATTGCCTGGATTACATTCTGATGGCGTGTGGGGCTCAGGAAGCTGGGGGTGGGGGAAGAGGTGGGCAAGACCTTCATGACAAGCATCTCTTCATGACAAGTCTGTTGGCTGTGGCCGTTTTCCCAACCATGAGCCTCAGCTGAGGCTCTTCCATCTTCAGGTCCCAATTTATTTTCCTGAGTTAAAGGCTTGGTCTTGGTGTCTGAAAAGTAATTTGGATGTTCATAGTGGCTAAAACTATCCAGGGGAAAAATTAAAAGTCACCATTAAGTAATGAGGCTAGACTATTGGGTGTCTCATATCCTGTCTCCAAATGCAGATATAGAACAGGAGTTCAGAAAGGATTTCACCAATGGCAGCATTGTTGGAATAAGTGACAGTTGCCCTTGGTGACTTAGAGGCCAGCACCTATTTGGATGTGTGAGACCTGGTATTTTCCACCATCAGCCTCGGAATGTGTTGTCATACCTGATACTTCCAGTATGGCTGACATGGGGAGTTGAGAGGATCACCACATCCACATCTCAGTTCAACCCCATCACATTGTTACTTCTCTTCCTGGGTCTGGCTCAACAGATAGTCCCAAATCCTAATGAATCCTATTCTTTTTGAAAGAGTAACACTGCTATGTTTAGTGAATGTAATGGACTAGATTAATAGCATAGACCACTTGATTCTACCTCCTTACTATCATTTCTGCCCCTTCTACCTCCATCTCCTGTCTCAGACTTTCCCACTATTTTTTCTACACTAATGCCATCCCTTCCTTGTTGGTCTCTCTGTATTCAGTCTCACTCTGTTCCCAACTCAGTTCATTCTTCATATTGCTTCCAAAGTGAGATTTTTAAAGATAGAATAGAAATACATACTGACATTTTACTTACGTAATTAGTATTCCCTGATGGCTTTCGAGGTGTATGAAGATACCGATATTGGCAGGTCTTTTTTGCTGAGTGAGGTGATGGGAATGGAAGTGTTAGGATCACTCTTTGTTGTTCTGCCTGAGAGAGAGGAAGAGAGAGAGAGACAGAGGAGAAGGGAAGCCTGATTCTCAAATAAAGACCTGGGGTCAGAGGAAATTCAAGGCTATTCAGGAAAAGGGTCCAGAGAGAGATGGGGATCCTGCTGGCAGGCAAAGGAGGGACTAGGGGAAATGAGGATTTTTGGAGTGAGATTTTGTGCACTCTCCAGTGTCACTCCCTCCTCAGTCTCACACACACAAAGAAACACTTCTGGTTTTTTTCAGTGGTGTAGAAACCTCTACATTATATGAATGTAGAGAAAAATCCACATTTCTCCCTAATGTTTTGTGGAGGGCATTGTTCTTTGGGGGAAATGTGTGGAAGCACTGAGTCATGCTACAAGAATGGCATGGAGGGGGAAAAAAAACAAGGCAGGATGCAGGGTTAGCCAATCTGTAAAATGCACAAATCATCTCCCTGCGCCTCTGATGAAGACTTCCACAGATCCCTGTTCCCCCTGGGGCGGTCATGGGGGCTTGGAACACTTTAGCATGGAATACAAGATCCTTCCTGATCTGGTCTCCATAAGCCTGTCCAACTGTGTCATCTAAGCAACAGTTCACACAGACACACACACTTCATACCCTACAGCTCTGACGTGCAGTTCTGTCAAAGCTCCTGTCACGCAGGTATTGCTGCTTCTCCCTGCCTAGGCTGCTCTTCCTCCGTTCTTGTTTAGCTACAAAACACCTCCTTCTCCCTCAAGCGCACCTAGGACACCTCTCCTTTGGGCTGCACTTTTATTGTATCATCACACTGTTTTATAGTTGTGTATTTGCCTCCTTGTCTCCCGGACATGACCATAAGCTCCTTAAATCCCGGCTTAGTCTTACCTCTGTAAAGTATTTCTAGCACCTAGCAAAAGGCCAGGCACTTAGCCTGACATTTGATAAATAAATTTACTTTCTATGACTTATAAGTGTTCTACAGAGAGAAAGAAAAATGTTCATTAGTCTCTAAAAACTTTCCCAATACTAGTCATTTTTGTCTTCACAAAGCCTGGTCCTATGGTGATCCTCAATAAACCGTGACTCCCAGCGTTCCTGTGTCAGCCTTTCCAACAATGACTCTGTGCCCGGCCACGTGACTAGCTTTGGTCAATAGGAAATTGGCAAGCATGACACAAAAGTAACGGTTGCTGGTAAGTGCTAGCACATTGGGTTTGTCAACTTGGAATGCTTTCTTGGAACCCAGGTACCATGTGAAAAGGAAGCTCAAGAAGCCATGTGGCGAGGCTGTTGTAGAGAAGAACTGAAGCCCCTGGATGATGGTCTCAACAGAGCAGCCAGCCAGGGACCATCACCAACTGCTAGCCACGTGAATGAGACATTTAGACCTTGCAGCCCTCCCAGCACCCCAGCTATTACTACATGAGGCAGAAGAACCACATGGTTGATCTATAGAATTGTGAGAAGCACTAAACTGTCATTGTTTTAAGACACTAAATTTTTCAATGTTAGCCATTTCATATAATTGAAATTGCACAATATGTAGTCTTTTTGTGACTTGCTTGATTCAGCTGTAGCATGTTTTCAAGTTTACTCAGCAATAGCATGCCTCAGTACTTCATTTCTTTTTATGACTGAGTAATATTCCTTTGTATGGATATATCACACTTTGTTTATCCATTCACCAGTTGATGGGCATTTGTGTTGTTTCCACATTTTGGCTATTATGAACCATGTGGCTATGAATAGTTGTATACAAGATTTTGTGTTCACATATGATTTTATTTCTCTTGGGCATGTGATTAAATACCTAGGAGTGGAAATGTTGGGTCAAATGGTAACTCCAAGGTGGCTGCATCATTTCACATTCTCACCAGCAGCATCACCCTCTTTTTACAGATGAAGAAACTCATATTATAGAAAAGTGAGGATGGAATTCTGTGACGATCCTGCATTTAAAGGACCATTAAAGAAGAAGAGCTGGCAGTGGAATTGGAAAAAGAGCAATTGGAAGGAGCAGGAAAAGGAGAAACCATCATCATACAACTGGAGAAAGAGAAGGTCAGAAGCATCTGTGTGAAAATAGTCACAGGCAAAAGAAAGGTAAATTACAGTAATTATTGAAGAGAGGTTTTTAAGAACGTACTTGGCTTCTTATTCTTAGGAGGTTTCTGCATTCTTAGGAGCTTCAGGGAGAATGGTGGTGGAAGAAACCAGGTTGCGATGGGTGACAGGTTAAGCGCGTGCAGGCAGCATGTTTTTGAAATTCACCTGTGATGAAAAGAAGAGAGAAAGAATCACCCTTAAGCTGGAGAGGACTTGAGCATGTCTGTAGAGAAGCGAAGCCAGAGTGATTAAGGAGCAGAGACAGCTGAGAAGAAGGTGACACACCATATTGGAAAAGCCGAGGAAAGCATAGCATCCGACAGAAGGGAAACCTAGTTCTCTGTAGCCACGGATGGAAGGAGAGCAGGGTGGCTACAAGTGAGAGTGATCTGGGGGAGATGGTCAGATGACCCCTTCTAGAATTTTCTGTGTGGATAGGTTCAGAAGTCCTGAGAAGATGCTAGGATGTAAGTAAGCTGTGTTCCTTCCTCCCTCTCCTTTCCCCCCAGACCTAGCGAATCACCTGCAGGGGGAAGCGGAGCCCTCGGCAGGCCCTCACAGCAGTTTTCAATGCAAATGATGAAAAGACACTGGGGGCATTCAGTCTTTTAGCTTGCTCCACTGTTCAAGGAAGATTTTAGTCTAAGGCCACATACCACAAGGTTCGATGAATTTTGGAGGGGCTTTCTGGGATTCTGAGTATTCCTTATGTATTCGTGGAACCTAGGTTTTCAAAGGATGCCAATAAATGTGGATTCCTGGGCCGTAAGACATCAGCTGAGAGGAAGTGTCTAAACAGCCATTAATCATTCTTGTTCTGTAGTATATTTATTACACATCACATTTTTTCCTTCATAGCCCCCCCCAAAGCCTTCCTAATTGAAAAGCCAGGAAGTAGTTCATTGTTTCTTAAAAATGGAAGCCATAGTGCTTACTTACAGTAAGTCTCTGCCATTCCAGTTAATAGTTCTGATTTATAAAACCTTCCGGGGCTTTCCTCGAGGAGAAAGGAAAAACCCCAGTGCATGTACTAGCAGCAGATTTACCACAGCCCCTGCTGATAGCAGAGGTATTTTAATAAAATCCAGCATAGAAATGCAGGTTTTGTTACGCTGACTCCAACAGATAATTAGCTGCAAAAGTTTGACAATCTCAGGAAAAAATGATCGGCATGACGACATGTGGTTTCAAATATAGATTACGAATTCTGGGGGTGGTGAAGGGTGGAGAAATCTGTGCTTTCAAGTGAAATGAGAACCTTTGCCATGGAA